ATGCTAAAATATTGTATTAAATTGAGAAATAAAGTTGCTTACCACTACCACAATGTGTAATTGACTTCTCTGGGTTGATTTGGGGGTGATTCGATCCGCTTGAGAATGAGACACTTTCTGAATGACCATTAAGCCCGTTTTCCACTTCAACCGTATCGTAACGTACCGTAGCATTTTCTTCTGTGTCGAACTCATTAGTTCCACACTACCGCTCAGGAAACAAAAATATACACTACGTTTTGGTACGATTGAACAGAAGTGGAAAACAAACATCAAGAACTGCTGTATTACGGGTAGGGTAATTATTGATAGCAGTTTATGCTAATCCATAATGTGAATGGGTGGTTGCGTGACTTCTTCGCTCCTGACCAATGACTCGCAGAATTTCAATCGATGTTCCATTTCAAGGTATAAAGTCTCGTTTAACTTTCTAATTCTACTTCGCCATTGGTCTACGTCGCTACGAAGTCATGCGAGATTTGGAAGCAATGGCCATTAGCATGAAACTATACCAATTCTTTATTAATATACCAAACAAGGAAATTTTATTAACAACTGAAATTGCCCAATGTAATATTAACAACTGAAATTGCCCCATGTCAAAACATCCCCATGTAATGGATACCATGATTGCAGTAAGTTATGTCCAAAGTTTTCAGAGTTCTTAATAGATTCTGAAATAACCGGTTTATCACAGAATATGCTAAATATCAAAGCATTTGTCCACCCAGCTGCCGTCATGATGGTGTTCACGGATAATGTTGTTGACTTTGCAGCAGATGCTGATGCTGCTCTGGTACTATGTGCATGGAAAATATTAGTGTCAATTCCTGCTTTGTCCAGGACTGTTTTCAGCCACCTTGCAATGGTATAAGTCGTCTCCGGCTTATGTGGCTGCTGGTAGCTTATCAACAGTTGAGTGTGGTTGCCTCTAAGGGGCTTCGTTTTTGCCAAGTAGACTTGAATAGTTTTGAAAATGCATAGCTGTTCATCCGCTGGATATGCTTGTAGCGTCAAATGGCTGAAGTGTTTCCCAGGTCTCGAGGATTTCAATAGCTTGTTTATCTGGAAAACATATTGCTGGTTTGGATGACATACCACTTGCATATGCATATCACTGATATCCAGCGCGTGAATGGTTTGACAACGTTGACCGGAGAGTAATGCCATTAATGCATGGTTATTTTCAAAGTAAGATCCCGGAGGTGCACGTCCTCTAATGGATGTAGTGTTTTTAAGTAATTTAGCACGATCCCTACATCCACCACACAATGATATCGTGGCAATGATGGTCTTTTTGTAATAACGCCTTTGAGCAGTCGACTCATTAGGGGTTGGTTTCCAAATGTACAGCCCTCAGGAGGAAATATAACCAAGGATAACGCAGACGTAGCAGTGTTCATTGTACTGTAGGATAGGTAATTGTTCGCATAAAGATCACTAAGAAAAGATTGCGGAATAAAAACTAAAAAAATCTGCTAAGCTTGACCATACATTTCTTGCTTTTCAAATAGCGGTTAGAATAGAACTTCCATGAGACAATACTCAGATTGTTTATGTTTAAATATCACGGCTAAATAATAAACATGTCAAGGTTGTTATACAGCCATATACTGTACTTTATCAAACAGATTTGCTGTACTGTGCTACAGGAACTGTCCAGTCACGGATACATGGGGAAAGCCGATATAAACACGCCAATATAATGTAAAACATAACGGAACGGCGAACATGCAGATTCGACCATCTCAAATAATAGTGATGTTGGGATGGTAGCATTGCAGACTGCAGAGGAGAATGGGCAGTAAGGCTCCCTCATGCACCACCCCATGGAAAACCTGCACCCCTCCTCGCAGATGCGGCTGGAGTCGCCCATGCATGCTTGTAGATATATCGAATTTCAAAATACATATAAAATTGAGAATGACAAAATGAATTACAAAGACCAAAGTACTACAATTCTAACCAAATCTTATTATACTAAGAATCCACTATTCAGTTAACAAACTTCTAACCAAAAAGAACAGATATGTACAAAATGATTTTGGTTACAAAATGCATTACAGTCAATTATCAATATCACTTTTCAATCATATGAAACAGTTACATTGGCTCATTGGCATTACTATGGCATTACTATGTCAAAATAATCTCTAAACAATTCAACCAATTCAAACAATCTCAAACTGTTTCAAAACAGTTTCAAATAAATTTCAAGTGAGGTTTCAAGTTTCAACACAACACAACACAACACAACACAACACAACACAACACAACACAACACCTAGGTTGATGCGATATATCGATACTTTTGATAAATATCAGTATTTCGAAAATGTTAATATTTGAAAATATTAACCACTTCTTGCATATCGACAATATGGATCCTTTTAACTAGAGGAACTTAATCTCCTTCTGTAAAGTTGAGAAAACACACATGTGACAGCAATTGAGAATTCAAGTAAGCATGTTGGCAATTTAAAAGTGTAAACAGAGTAAGAGTGATCACAGAAGATCACCATCCACACGAGCGGTAGTTTTTGAAAACAATAACTGTGTGATGACTCATAAATATGGAATCAAAATATCACAGCTCCTTCTAATTTACTGTCTAGACTCACTGAAGGAAAGTCTAGACAATAAATATGTCAAATCAACAATTCAAAGCCCTGTTTGGATTTACTTCAAGAACAGTGCAGGCTAACTGAACTACGCTTTTTAATTTCATAATTCGAATATAGTCCATATTTTTGTTCAATCTCGATATATTGATTTTTTTCATATCGCATCAGCCTAATAAAACCCAAAATAGTTTCAATTTATGTTGCCCAGCTAGTGGGGCACCACATTGTCATGCATATGAAGCGCCATTTGTGACAAAATACCAGCAATAATGTGTATAGAAAAATTAAATTTATGTATCAAAAGTTCATATTTTTATGGTTAAAATGCAAAAACAAATGTATCAGAGTTTCTTTATGTATCAAAAGTTCATATATTTATGGTTAAAATGCAAAACAAATGTATCAGAGTTTCTTTATAAAAGTACAGCAGAGAACGGTCAGCAGTCTCTAACGTATAAAAGTTGCAACACTTTATGTTGTACAAATATAATGGTCTATTTTCGCCATTTTCGCGCCATAATTGCAAGAAGATCCAACATGGCGGATCAAAACAATTCGCTCGGTTCTTCTGGTTTTTCTATTGAACAACTGGTAAACGGAGTTTTATTGCATCCACAATTTCGTCACGTTGTCAGCAACATGACTTCCTCCCAGAATTCAACTTCAAGTGTCACATCGACTGATCGACAACAACTAATACTTCAGCTGGTCCATCGACTCCCACAGCTGGTCAATCGACTCCCCCTGTATTAACCCATTCGAGCGCGACGACGAGTCATGTCGGTAATCAAAATCAAAGTCCGGCTGAGGAATTGAGGGCTATTTTTCGACGTGGAACATCTTCCCAGCAACAGCAAAATATAAATGCAACTATTCCTCGTTTTAATAGTAGATTTTCTTACCAGCCGAGAGGCCGCAGCAATGCAACTCGTAGACTGAATAGCAACGAAGGGAAACAGAAGACAACTGGAAAACGCTGAGGTCAAACTCCAGCCAAACAATCTTTTTGCCGAGAAGTTGTGTTATTAAGGAGTCCAGACGACACCAAGGTTGTCCGTGGTCATAGTAAAGCAGCATTGCACAGAGCTGGGAATGTCATCAGTGCATTTAAATTTGAAAAGAGTTGGTGTTTTTCTACGGTCTGCGAAGAGCTCAATAAAGCATTTCCTCAGCTCGGGCGTATAAATACAATGCCAAAGTGAGTGATTGTATAAAATTATTAATAAGCTATTCCAATTAATATGTGTACCCCCCCGCCCCCCCCTTATCGAGGAGACTGGAAATCCTCTGGTGTAAGTAGTTCCAGGCTGGAAATCCTCAGGTGTGGGCTGTTTTCAGTCTGGAAATCACCAGTTGTGGATAGTTTTCAGCCTGGAAATCTTCAGGTGTAGGCTGTTTTCACTCGGGCTGGAATTCCTCAGCATAAGCATATTTTCTGACTGGAATTCCTCAGGGTAAGCAAACTATCAACCTGGAATTCCTCATCATAAGCATATTATCTGACTGAAATTCCTCAAGGTAGGTATATTTAATATATGACCGGAATTCTTCAGAGTAAGGATATTATATTATCAGGCTGGAGTTCCTCAGGGTAGGCATATTATCAGGCTGAAATTCCTCAGGGGCAAAAGCGCTGGGGACAATGTCCTTGATAGGCGGGGGGGGGGGGACAGATATTAAATAGAATAACCCAATATATAAAAATTGTGCCTTTTGATAGTGAATTTTACATTTGTCTGGTATTAAAAAAGGCTTTCTCTAAACTTAAAATGTGTGAAATGCAGTGTCTTGCAAACCCAAAATAGAGTTAACCTAGTAATGAGTGGCAGCATTCTACATTTGAACCCATTATTTGAATGGCAGCACTCCACTTGACGAGTAAAATCGTCTGGCGTTAGACAGAGTAAAATACTAAAGTAGGGCACATCAGGGTGCATTGCCACATAACAGGTTAATATACACAATAAAAAGCATATACATGCATGTATATATATATTTAAAACATGAACAATTAATTTAACCATAATTCTTGGATTTCATGTGATGTCATAGATTTGAGTGGGGGTACCTTTAAATCGAGAAGCAGTCATCAGAGTGAATTCATTGTCCACTGTATGTGTTGGCCTTGTGTTTGGTGGCAAATAAGTGAAATTTTGTATCTCAATACATTTGAGGTCGAATCTAGTTCCTTCATTATCAATGTAATCTAGTATAATCATGATTTTTTGTGTGTGTGTTTAATGTACTCAGGTGAATATGGTGCTTGTGATGTTGCTCTGAGTGTATATCCCCACTGGGCTAGCTTGAAAGATATGCCTAGCCATGCATATTAATATAACAAATAAGCTGTTGTTGAATTGCAGATTTCAGATTATGATGGGTGTGGGAAACGAGCTAGTTAAACCGCAACTTGCAGCTGGTGAAGAGTTAACTGGTGGAAATATCAATAAAATATTCACCCAAAGATCAGTTTGGATTTTGCCATCTGAGAAACTTGATGATTTATGCAAAGATGAGGTATAGTACTACATCAGTATGTTTCCTAAATTAAGACTATGTATTAGTATTAATTGTTGAAAGTTGTTTAAAATTAACAGCCGTTCCGCACGTAACCAATTAATTGTAGTTGTAAAGACATTGTATACAATAAAGTATTGAGTTGAAATATGTCTACATACAATTACAATAACCCTAATCCAAATGCTAACCCAAAGCCTAACCCTAAAGTTGATAACTTTTTTTTCAATGTATGCAATAAAGTATTAATTGGGTTGTAATGGGTCTACCATTACAGTGACCATAATCCAAATGCTAAACGTAACCACTGATCCTCCGGTTGATGACCTTTTCTTTTGGTCAGAGACGGATTTTCATATTTTTGTTCGGGGGGTGGATAAATATCTGGGGGGTACTGCTGCTTGCTTTGGCCGGCGCGTGGTGGCAACACCCGGAAAAACCAAGGAAAAAGTTTAACAAAATCTGATTTCTAGGCCTGCATGGCGAGATCTGAGACCATAATATTGGTAATTTTACAGATTTAGTAGTAAGAATAATCAAATATGAAACTATCAAATCAAAATAAATATAATTTACGGAGGTGCAAAAACTTTTGGGGTCGGTGCCAAATGGCTCTGGGGGGTGCAAATCATTTCTGGGGAGTGCGCACCACCCTGCACCCCCCAGCAAATCTGTGCCTGCGTTTGGTAATTTCCCCACCTCGGCCTGACCTACCTCCTTTTTAGGGCCATTACATTTATAACTAAAACTTTTGTCCAATGCTTGTAATTTTGCCTTCAGTTACAACACAATACTTTATTGCATACAATGGCTGTGCTGTACAACTGCAATGGATCATTGCATGGTTGCAATGTGCGGCAGAACAGGTGAAATTAAGGCATAGTCTAATTTAAAAAACTTCTACTTAAGAAATATTTCTTTTAAAAACCTTATCCTAAAACCCATCCCTTTTAGAACTTTAGAATTGCAGCTATTTTTCGATGATGTGCTCTATTTTATGAGTATCATGGCAGCATTTTCCTTGCTTATAGTACCTTCTAGTTATGTTGATATTTGATTACAATACTTCACAGATTATTCAATCCAGTTCCAGTGAAGATGAGATGATAGCAAGCACATCTTACTATGACATAAGAGACTTAATAAAAGGTGCTACAGAGATCGCTCATTCATCCACAGAGAAGGCGCCTTCGTCTACAGAGAATGCATCTTTGTCCACGGAGAAGGCGTCTTCGCCTTCTGAGATGGTTTCTTCCTCAGAGATGGCTTCTTCCTCAGAGATGGCTTCTTCCTTATCCAATTCTTCTGAATGTTGTGCAAGTGATGTGCAAATGCTCAGAGATGTTTTTCCCAACATAGATCGTCAGAAAATTTCAGACACTCTTGTGACTTCTGGTATGGATTTGGAAAAGGCAATTAATAAGATTCTCAGTGAATCAGGTACTGTATACATGCATAGAGCATACCTTTACTGCATTGCATTTTTGATGATCGTCATCATCAAATTACAATAGAGTTGTGAATATAATATGGCCATAATAATAATAATAATAATATTTCAATTCAATTCAATAGACAATCAGTTGTTTCAAATAGTTAACAAGTCCGGACTTTCCCATTCCTTATTTCGATGGCAGAAAATGTAATAAGTACTTCGAATGGCAATAGTCATTTCCTAACATTTCTATTTATATATATAATTTATGAAGAAATAAGACATAATTGTACTGGTATTCATTTGTTCAATCTTTGTATTTCCTTGTTATAGCTTCGGAAGAAGCTGAACGTAGTCATGAAGATAACAGTGATGATCCAGAGCTGGTACAGCAACTGGATGAGCCACTGTCTCATAGATTTTTTTATGATGATGAAGATGGGTTGCAATCTCTTCAAAATTTTATTTCCAAAGCAGTTAATCCTTTTGGTCAGGAACTGGATATGTGCCTTGACAGGAACGAGGACATATTGGAACAAGCAGTAAGGAAGTACAAACATCCATCATTTGATACGACAAGGCCCCTCAACGTTGCATTTCAAGATGAGCCAGGAGTTGATGCTGGCGGGGTGACAAGAGAGTATTTTTCTCTCTTAATGCAGAGGTTGGAGAACCAAACTGGTACCCTTAAGTTGTTTGAGGGTACAAGTGGACATCTGGTTCCAATGCATAATTATGATTACCTGTCAGGAGGGTTATTTGTTATGGTTGGAAAGATGATCTTGCATGCTATTCTAAATAAATGCAATGGCATGGCAGGATTATCTCGAGCAGCTGTTGCATACATCATCAGTGGCAGTCGTGATGCAGCTGTAGAACATATTGTGTTGGATGATATTCCTGACCCAGTGATGCAGGATCAATTGCGGCAGGTATATGGGCATAGAAAATGTAAATGGTTATTTAGTATGCATGCCTAAGCTGTGTGGATTGATGTAGTTCCATCGTACTGAAAACTGTCATAAAGTCACACACACGAACAAACAAAACTTGTCAATGAAAACTTGTTCGTGTGTACCGGACGTAAAGGTACTATTAAATTTTGAATGAAAAGACTAAAAGAGTGCGCACTGGTCATTCTACAGTCTTTAGTTTGTTCGAACATGGATAATAAAATAAATTATCCATGGTTCGAATAGATGAATAGAATTGTCAAGTTAGTAAAGCCGGTTAGTGTGAGGGCGTTATTTTAAAATGTGTTTGTCTCTTGAACAGCTGGATCGGTCTACGAATGAACAGCTCAGCCAATTTACTACAACCGACAGCTCACTTGACTTAACCGATCTTTTGATGGCCGAACGACGGCACTTGGCATATGAATGTTGTCTATTTTACGAAGTGATCACAAAAAGAATAGCAGCACTTGATGACATCAGAAAAGGTTTGCAGAGTGTGAAAGTTATGGGCAACACAGCATTAGTCCTTCTCTCAAAATGGCCTGAATTAAAAGATAAGTTCTTTCCTAAAGCACAGTTTGAGGCAGTAGATGCAGCCGCACTGATCTCGCGTATCTTCTATGTCATGGGTGATGTCCATGCAAACCACGAAGTACGAGCATTCTTTGAGAGATATATCGATGAAGTAGCAGCCAGAGATGGTAAGTTATATTTACTAGTTTATACTCTTTCCCAATGCCTTTTCTGATACATGGCATTTCTTAAATGATGCATGATTATCTTGGATAACATAGTGTATAATATTAGACCATTATTAGTATAGGAATTGGCTAGGAAATATTAACCAATATACCATTTCGATAATTACGTCATTTGGCGTGGGAGCCAGTCGCTCTCATGTATCGTGAGCCAATCAGCTTGCGTAATTTACCAATGAGAGTCATGCTCCAAGATCAAAACGTATGTGTGACCTAATTATCGAAACGGTGTATTGAGTGGCTATGCACCCTATTTTATACTTTTATTCTATATACAGTACTGCCAAGAAATAACTTATCAAAAACCGCGTCCAAGACGCTGGTATCTTGCGTCCACTGTGCGTCCACGGGCGCCCGCGGGTGCGTCCGTCCTGCGGGCGCCGTGCGTCCGTCGTGCGTCCACTGTGCGTCTGCGGGCGCTTGCGGGTGCGTCCACTGTGCGGGCGCCGTGCGTCCGCTTTGCGTCTGCGGGCGAGGACGCAGCTGAGAAAGAGTTCTATTCGTAGATCGTCGGAAATTATCGCGTTTCGCTTTTCATAAACAAATCATGGGCGTCGGAAAATATTCATGTTAGCGATTTCACACCACGTTTTTTATGCTTATACACCAGCGTTACAGACCTAGAATCCTAGATATTTATATTTCTAATATTAAACTTACCGTGAATTTTCAGAATTTGTGCTTCGTAAAGTTCCTTTTCGTATTTGATCTCTACTTTCGCACCTTCGTATAACGTTTGGTTTAAACCCAGTAATCTTTTAACGTTGCCGGTTGGCAAAATGCACGTATGGTTTTATATCTTCTTCGAAGAAACCCAAAATACGTTGACAAGTAACCGATCGATACCTCATTTTATTAATCTGATAGTAATACGAATCGAGTGATATTAGTCTGAGCTCCTCACTTCAGCTTTAGCGAATTATACTGCAACTTTGAAAATCAAGCGATGAGTCACAGTCATTGAACCGTGTTGAAACACAAAGACTGTTTCCTGGACATGTAAAGGTATTCCATTAAGGGATTAAGAAAAGTCATTTATCCAGAAATTATATGGTAATTATCAATTTATATGACATCTCACCATGTGCATTTGCTGCTTTGGAAAAACAACACAAACTTGTTGCTGTAAATAAAGTTATATAGTGGCTCGTAGTAATGGTATTTTATATGAAAAGTCAAAAGCACTATAAATATTGTAAATGAGCATCTTCGTTTTAATATACTGACGAGTAACGGAGACATAACATTATTCAAATACAGAATTGCATATCAACTAATCGGTAATCTTCTACGAGGTAAGTCAGAATTTGAGTAGCAAATGAATATGTTGCGAGATATATACTCGTTGTATAGTCGTGATCTCACTGAGTTTAGTATATGTGTCTACACTATATTTATATATAGTTTATGTCTATTTTGCGCTCCAATATACAGTCATATACGCTTCAATCGCCACACAAGTACGTGTGATTGCATTGTGAAAGCACTACGCTTACTGTAGTATAACGTGTAACATTATCAAATGGTTATACTAAGTGTAACGCTTAGGTTCATGCAATGAAACTCTATTTCAGATTAAACTTTTTATTCTTTGCTTCTCCGATCAGCGACACACTGACACTGATCTGTATTCTCACGACAAACTACGAGTATGATGCAAATATTAGTTCGTTTTTCCGATTATGTTACGACGACTGCGTCCAAGCGGACACAGTTTTTAACTGGAGGCCGGACGCGGGCGCTTTGGAGGCAGGACGCGGGCAGAGTAGACGCAAGACGCGGGCGTCGTGGAGGCCGGACGCGGGCGCTCTGGAGGCAGGACTGGAGATAACTGGGAGGTTCGTTCAAAAGATGTTCTTAGCAAACTGAATTGGCAACCACTAAACCAGATAAGATTGGTTAAGACGCTCTTGTTTATGCGCAAAATTCTAAAAAAGGAAGTTCCTACATCAATATCAGACCAGTTTCACATTTCGGTAAACGATCAATACAATCTACGTAGTAATTTTACTATGTTGAAACTGGCAAAACCAAGAACAAATGCACTAAAGCGTAATTTTAGCTACCATGGTGCAAAAACTTGGAATAATTTGCCAACTGAATTGAAAAATCTCACGATCTCTGAGAGAGTTTTCAAAAATAAATTACAAGATTTCATTCGCGAAAATAATTCATTTTTGAACAATTT